AAAAAAAAAAAAAATTATTTTTCACAACAGGGTTTCTCTGTGTGGCCCTGGTTGTCCTGGGACTCACGCTGTAGACCAGGAGGGCCTTGAACTCAGAGATCCACCTGCCTCTGTCTCATGAGTGCTGGGATTAAAAGCATTCGCTACCACCACCTGGCAAGAATAATTTCTTAATTTTCCAAATTCCACTGTTGTTTTCTCTTATAAATGAACATGATAAGGTTAAACCTGTTATAAACAAACACCTTCTAATATATTTAATCTTCCTTTTGCCCACCCTGTCTACATAAGGCGATTGAAGGAAGAAGTGGGAACAGGTTTATTCAGGCCTAAAAATGTATTGCGCAGGCTATGACAGGCCTCTTACTGCTCAGGCCTTTACAACTTTGGATTCAGGTTACAGTTCTGGAAAGTCGGACCCTGTTCTTTGTTAACAGTGCTTCAAGCATCATTCCAAGCATCCAGCTCCTAACCCAAGGCTTCTCTGATGCTGTGGTACCAAATCGAGGGATGGCAGAGTTGGCATCTCAAGGGAGCAATCCTCAACAGAGAGATGGCTGCTGACAGACAAATGCTTCTCTCTCTTGTCTATCAGAAAGACATTTGTGAGACAAAATTTATTAAGAATCGTGATATGCTCCTGCCTTACACCGCATTAACAACAGTGAACTCTTGACAATGCTACCTTGCTTTCGTTGGCTTTTCTTTGCTATGTGCCCAGATTCAACACCCCCCATCCCACCCCGTCCTTCCTCCCTGTTCTCTGCAATCACATCCCCAAGTAGAATGCATCTACCTTTTGTTTCAGGCACTACGTTCAAGACTAACCTAGATCAAAGCAGTAGGTGAGCAGGCTGCTGTTATTACATAATATCGGAATATAATTGGCTTGACTTTGTGCAAACTACAAAGCAATGCTCATTCGGTTGGCTGCATTGTTGGTGGCTTCCATCTTTGTCCTTTTTGAAAGCTCACAGTCCACTCTGAGCCTGACCGCCTAAAGAAAAACAGAAAGGTGGTACAGGTTAGCTTGTGACTGAATAGGCAATTTTCTTTGGGATGACGGCTCTGAGCACTTTTCCCGAGTAAGAAGGGTCCTTGGCAATTTGGATGGATACTCCAGGGTAATGTGGATGAGTCCTCATTCTAATTAATCAGGAAAAGCTCTCGGTTGCCCTGGAAACAAGCACACCACGTTCTGTTCTTAAGACTCCTTGGTAAAAGGCTACATCTTTCACTGCTATAATTTTTTTCTGTTAAGAAAATCGAACATAACTTTAAAAATGTCTGCTCACTGAAATACTTAGAGGGTTTTCTTCATTCATGAAAAGAATTACAGAAGGTCCACGGAGATACTAGTGAGCTACTAGGAATAAATTAAGACTGCCCATATGCTACCCCGGGGTAGAGGCGTTAACAATTCTATTTGTTGTTCTTATTGCTTAAACTCATGAGGTTCTAAGGACACTACAGAGAACAACACTGGTTACAACTGCTCCCTCATAAAAGTTCTAGTGGGACAGAAGATGAGAAAACCAATAAATTAGTACCTAAAGCATATTACATTTGAAATAAGAACTATAGACAGAAATAAACTATGGATGGCAGAATGGACAAAATTCTGTTCCTTCTCCAAAATGCTTCTATGTAAGTCCTCACCACCAGGGCCCCATAACTTGTGTACCTGGATATTGTATGTTTAAATATGTTCATGTGTCTGTGCGCTAGGTATATGGAGGTGCCCATGGAGGCAAGAAAAGTGTTAGATGCGCCCCCACCCAAGATGCAGTTACAAGAAGCTGTGAGCTGCTTGAGGTGGGCTTTGGGAACAGAACTTTGGTCCCGTGGAAGAGCTGCCAAGTGCTTCACTCCTGAGCCACCTCTCCAGCCCTGGAGGCGAGACTTAAGGAAATGATTTAAGTGAGGACCTCAGGGTGGCCCCTACTCTCCAATTCACATCCTTGCCAAGAGGAAGTCTGGACTCCAGATCCTGCACACAGGAACAAAGCCTCAGGAGAAGCCAAACTTACCAACACTTTGACCTTGAACTTTTAGCCCCCACAACCAACAAGTTTCACGTAAGCAGGCCATTTACTCTGTGTATTAGCTGTCAGGACCTAGCAAATTAATGCACACAGAAGAGAGAATATGCAAGATTTTTGTTTTGTTTCTTTCTTTTCTTTTCTCCCCCTCAGGCCTCACAGAGAAAATAAGATTTCAACAAAGACCCGAAGAAGAAAAAAAGTCAGCCAGAGGATATTTGGGGGAGGAGCATTCAGGAGAGGGAGGGAGACACAATTCCGGGAGCCCTGAGCTGGAGGGATGCCAGTGTGGTCTGAGACTTAAGCATTAAAAGATGAGCGAAGAAAGGGCATGAAGAGGAGGCAAAGGCAGCCTGTGTGAGCGAGGTTCTCAAGCTATGCTGGGCACTGAGGAAATGTTCTGAAGACCTGAGAAGACATTTTGTCCAGATTGGTGTGACAGCGTGAGCCTACGCTCAAGTACAGTCAACACACAACACAATTCTAATTCTACAAGGTACCTTTCCATTTAACTGTGTTACTTTTAAATGACTCTTAAAACAGATATAAAATATATAGCTCTCTAAATAGATATAAAACTACTAAGTTATTTATGAGAACAGTTAATTCCATTGATGGCAAACTTGGTTTCTGGATCAATTCTCTGTTATAAACAGGTAAACATTCTGGGAAAAAAATGTATTTAATAAAATTGAGAGTTCAGCAAATTATCTTCTCAATAGCTTTCCACTCCTTACTCTGTCTCCTTCCCTTCTGGGATTTTCATGTGTGTTAGGATGCCTAATACTATTTTATAAGTCACTGAAACTCCACCTATTAAAAACAACAACAAACAACGTTTTCCTCTATGTACTTTAAATTCAGACAAATTCTACTGACTGTTCACATTTAGTAAAGTACGTCTCGTGTGTCAACTCTACTGATAATCTCTGATGATTTCAGTTATTTGTCCAGTTAGGGTTTCCATCTCATCCTTTTTATGTCGGCTGTATTTCTCTTGAAATTCCCTATGTCTTTACCTATGAAATCAGCCCTTAGTAAGACTCCTTTAATATACTTGTCATGCTATTGACATTCCTTTTCTATTAACCCTAGCCTCTATACATCTGTTTTCCTTTGGTTTGTGATCAAGGTGATAGTGTAGAATAATTTGAGGAGATTAAGGAAGATTTAGGTCAACTGGATAATTAAATTTAAAAAAAACTTACACAAGACTCCAAAATTAATTTTAGGTAGTAGATCAAACACTCTCACACATAAGATGGTAATATAGGCAAATGTCCTTGTGAGCTTGTGGGCAAGAAATGATTATTTATAGGTTACTAAAAGTACTGACCTTGTGGAAAAAACTACATACATTAATTAAAAAAAATCTAACAATGAGATGGTTAAAATACAAAGTGTAGAAGAGAAAAATACATTTGTTTGTGAAACAACACAGCTGGAATTTGTAAGTGTGAAGTCAAGTGTAAATGACAGTCAATAGAAATAACTAAAGAGCCCTTTACTAAAGAGGATATGTAAGTGGCTCAATAATTTCCCAATAGACCCTTTCTGTTATCAGTCAGCAAAGATTTATAAATTAACACCATACAACCACTGAATGCTGGCAAAGGTGTGGGGTACTGAGGTCTTATCACATAAGGCGAGTGGGACTGTGAACTTGAAAAGCTCGTGCTGTAAATACAACTGAGCCACAGCACTGGCCATGTCTGAGCGATTCAACATGCAGGCATGTCTATCTAGAGGAATGTATCTACATAAAAACATACAAGACTAATATTTATTCATGTGAGTATTATTTGTAAGAATAAATGTACAGTATCACTATGGGAGATCAGGCACAAAACACTTCCTTACTCTTCAACCAGTAGAAAATGACGGCAATAGGCAAGATTATTGGTTGTTTGGGGCTGAAGGGGATAGGGAGCAACTTCAAAGGGTAATAAAGCAAAGGACATGGAGTTGCTTTTCAGGTGATGAAAGTGATCTAAAATTTGGTAATGGTTGCCCAAAGTGAATATAGTTTAAAAAAAAGTCACATACTTTAAATGGATGAATTGTATGGCATGAACTATATCTCATAAGTACCACTATTAATAAAATATTTTGAGTATATTAAAAAAAACTGGAGGCCATACAACATGAAAAATAAAGCAATATTTCAAAGACTCATTACATGGAACAACACGCATGAACTCAAATATATTATGGAACAAAAGGACCAGGTCTTATAGACTATTTGATGAATAACTATTATGACAGAAAAAAAAATGTCTAGAATACTTAAGGTTAAGGCAATGTCTATATTTAGGGAGAGTGTGCTATCTTTGCTACTGACTGGGATGAAGGATGCTTGTAACAGTTTATATTATCTAGATGTGGTTGCCAGAATATGTTTGTTTATGTACCGAACAGTATTTGTAATTGGTGTGCTATTTTCTGTGCTCTCTTTCAACACGTTAAATAGCTTTAAAAACTTAGCTGTTCAGTAAGTGGTCTTACCAAGTAAGCACTGGGGAAAAAAAAGGACTAAAAGAATACATAAATATTTTCAAGCTCTTTTAAATGTATTGGGATTATGTAGAATAATTTCAACATTCTTCTATACATTTTTCATTATTTTTCAAATGATCACACTGGATATATTATCACAATGGAGCAATTATCAAAACATAATAGTTTATCTTGTATTATTTTTACAGTAAGCTAATTTAACCAAAATGTAGAATTTTTGCTTCCCATGGGAAGCGACTGCTATTTCAGAATAAAAGACGAGACGGTGTGGCTACTGTTCCGAGGGGTTCCTGGTGGTCTTGACTGGCAGGAACTTACCAAGCAACCGGCCCTGGGAGGAGGAGCAACCAGGTGCGTGGGATTCCCGGGGCGGTGAGCAGAGCCTGAGCAAGTCAAGCCTGAGCATCCTTATAGAACCTGGGTCCTTTCTGCGAGCACCAGGGCAGCGGTGCAGGGCTCAGCGAGGCTCCCACAAAGTGAAGAATTAGCCTGCCATTGCAATCTGCAAGCGTGTAAGGCTCCCCCGAGGCCGTGAGTGGGTGTTTCCTCCTCTTCTACAAGGTTGTGAAAGACGAGTATGTGACAGATTTGGCTCTTCACGGGGGGGTGGGGGGGACGGACCCACAGAACTGGTGACTCTGTAATCGGCGACTCTCCAGACGGATCTTAAGGCATGTAAAGTTTTTACCTGGGCAGGCGAGGAACCGACGAGGAGCGGGAGGTGGCCGGATACCTCCTGCGATGCAGGATGCCCGATGCAGGATGCCGGGGAGGTGCAGGATGCTGGGACTCCGGGGGCGGAGTCCACTCGGTGTCAGGACGCAGCCCGGGTAGGACAGGAGGACGCTCGCAGCACTTCAGCCGATTTAGAGCAGCGGGAGCCGCTTCCCACTCGAGCGAGGTTCCTCGCGGGTCCGGGCAGCCAACGCGGAGCGGTCTTTCTTTTCTTCCGTTGCCGGGATCGACACCTTTCTGACCAGTCCGCTCCCCGCTTTGCAACTTTGGTAGTAGCGCGGCGTGGGCGCGGCTGGCTGCTCTGCGCATGCGGGATGCCGGTCCAGGCCCCGCCCACTGCTCAAGCTCCACCCACCGCTTAGCCCGGCGGGTTGCTGAGCAGTGGTTAAGAACCGGTCTCTCCTGGTGTTTGAGGGCGGAAGGACACACAGGATTATGAATTAGTTGTGGGCACTGCCTTCACTCCAGAAAATACCGCCCATACGGGACCAATGCAAACGGCAAGGTCCTGTGCTGCAACCTAGTTTCTCAGAATAAGCAATCTTTCTTCACCAGGGTTTCTCAACCACCCGCGGTGGTGGCTGTTTGCTTTGGGTGATCTTGGGGTGTGTCGATGCGCTGTAGTGAGTATTTTGCAGCATCCCTGGTTTCTAATCACTATATTCCGACATCAACCCCCACCCCCGGCGATTCTGACAAACAAAATGTCCCCGAAGTCTGCTAAGTATGTGCATGTACTTGGGACCTAGCAAAATTGCCCATATTGACTACTACCCCACAGGCTTAAAATACAGGGCACAGGAAATAGTTAGGAAAAAGTTAGTAACTTCAGTCTGATAGAGTTAATATGCTTTAATTCCCCCAATTGTTCCAAAATCATTCTTTTTTACTTTATTCTTTGTTGGTGCAATTTAATTCAAGGATTAAGTCGATCACATACTGCATTTAGATGTCAATTATCTTCAGTTTCCTTCGATTTAGGGCAGTTTCTCATCCTCTATTACTTGCTGTTTTCTTGCTATCGACCGGCGTGGGCGTTCTTCTAGAATACCCTTTACTCTGTATTTGATTGTCTCTGCATATTGATAAGACTGGTGGAAATTCTACCTAGATGATGATACATCCAATTTTTCTGTTTTCAAATGGCTAGCTGCCTATTCTAACAATAGTTCATTTTATAAAGTCCCTGTCCTTTCCTCCAGAGATGTGGGATACTACCTATGTAAATTTCTACATGGTAGTTAGGTCTGTATCTATGTTTTTTTCTTTTCCATATTGATTAGATATTGTCACATTCTAAATTTACCCTGTTTTAATTATAATCTGTACAAGCTATTGAAATGTCTGAAAGGGTTAGGCCAGCCTTATCGCTGCTTGCTTTTTATATTCTTGTTTTTTTTTTCATATAAACTATAGACTATAGCTTCATTAAAATACTTTTAAAGAAATTAACCATAATTTGATGTGTTGTCCTACCAGAGAAAGGGGATATTTTTCCTTTCACTTAAGACCCAGTTTTCTGCCATTCAGCAAGACTTTGCAGTGTTTTCCATATAGGATGCTTACATGTCTTGCTAATTTTATTCCTAGGATGATTCCTTTTATGTTTGTACTGTAAATAGGATCATCCCTGCAATTGTTTGTTGCCCCAAACAATGAACATAATGATTTCTATATGTAATTTTATATCTTGCTATTATATTTAATTGGTTATTGATTCACGAGGTTTTCATTGAAAGCATCTCTATTCTTTTCAGTAATTGCAGCCCTTGCTCACTGAGGCTCAAATTGCCCGTCCTTGATACTGTTACTTCCCGGACACAACTTTAAGTGCCTTGATGGTGTTCTTGCTTCCTGCCATGTCAGAGCTCTAGTCTCATTCAGCGTTCTGTACTGCACTGCTCCAGACCTGAACCCAACCCTTGCAGGGAGTTCTTCCGGCTTCCATGGCAAAGGGCGTCAGACGGAGAACGCAGTCTGTGTGCTTGAGCATGTACCTGGCTTGACATTGCTTTTTTACTCTTCCAGAAAAGATTTAGAAAAATATGTATTTTTTGGAGAAGAAAAGAAACCCATAAATTTGCGGTAATATTCAACTTCTAACGAAAGATTAAAGGATAACTATTTGATATTGCTACTCTTCTCTCTCATGTTGTAAATGATAAATTCTTTAATTTTATGATTATTTACCTTTCCCTACAATATTATAACTACTAATAAAATGCTAATGTAGTTAATATGTCAGGATTTGTTTTACATTGCTTAGTTAAAAATAAAATTAAAATACAAGCTGTGGAAAAAAACACTCTCATCTTTAAATGTATTCTTTTGAGTGAGCTATCTAACTTATTTATTTAAATTTCTAATTATTATTGGTATAGATATCTACATCTCTCATTTTCATTCTAAACATTATTCAGATTCTATTGTGTTTTTATTTTTGCTAGAAATTCTTAATATCAACTGACACCTCCTTTTGTCTAAGCTTTAATAGAAAAATTGAAAATGTCAAGGTCAGAGGTTCTTTATTACAGTTTGATGCTGTGATTTCCAGTTTTATCATACTGCTAATAGAGAATATTATTTTGTGTTATATTTCTTCATGCACTTTATCAAAGTAGGCCTAATTTGTCTATAAATGCAAATCCTAGGCAATTTTAATAAATAATTTTGTTAAATTTGGGCTGGATTAAAAGATTGTGCTATATACTGTTATTATTTATGTATTTCAATTTTTCATTAAATTAATTGTAATTCCTTCTATGTGAACATACTTGTTGGGTTATTGGCTATATACTTTTTCTTAAATATTTTATCACAAAACACAAATTGTGGGGAAATGAGACGTGCTTTGTTTAGGTGGTTTGGGGTCTGAATTGATTGATCACTTTATGATTAAAAAAGTCTCAGTTTCTTTTTTTTATAAGCCTTTTCTTGCTATAATTTTGCCTGTTATTTCTTCCATACATTTTGTTTTCTGAAGTTCTTATCATTCCTGAATTATTTTTAGCTTTACTGTTGTCTTTTATGTGTGGCAGAGATGGGGTTTTATTGGAATCAATCTGTGTTATCCTCTTCTCTAGAGGGGGAAGCCCATGATTGACTGACATATTCTGTCTCAGTTGTCTAATTTATAAATAACATTAATATGTGAAAGGTAATTTGGTGGCGATTAGTGTTGTTGAGAAAAGTGGACAAAGTTAGGAAACCTGAGGAGGGAGTGGATTGTACCTTTTGCATAATGGTTGGGAAAGTCACCTAGAATGTGATTTCTGCACAAACACTTGGATAAATGAGGCGAGAATGTTCTCCTGACAGAGAACAGTGGGGGCAGTGGCCCGCAGCACCCAGCACCCACGCTTGGATTCCTGAACACCTTTTACCCTTCCCTGCCCATTCCATTGCAATGATCCTTGGACGTAATGGTCTTCACGTCTCTGACATTTCAGTGTGACCTTTGCATTCTACCTCCAGCATGTCTGATACAGATCTCAGTGATCGCTTTGGGCTATTTATCTGAAACCTTGTGACTACAGGGGACATTTTTTTTGTTGTTGTTGCAACATACACACCAATGAAAAATACCTTGACTAACAAATGTTCAAAAGGCACAAAAACATCCACCCTCTACACTCAGAATTGGGCAGGATCTTCTGAGTTCTCTGGAAGCCGACTATTTGGTTTCAGACAGTTTTACCTTTTAAAAAACACAAGTCTAAAACGAACAAGACAAAACATAGCTTTATGGCAAAGAAAGCAGCATGAAATGAGAGATGTGTGTGAGGGGAAGTAAGGATGCGTTAAATCTGTAAACAGAAAGGCAGAATTAAGGATGGTAACAGAGAAGGGACAAACTTTTTTATCTTTATAGGGAGTTCTGCCTTCTCTACGTATTTTATTTAGAAACACTTTGACTTTCTCTTCCATTTTCCTCTTTACCTTTCATTTTCTTAAGCCCAGCTGTCGCAGTGAAGTCTGCCTAAGCCACAATTCATATAGAAAACTGAACCGTGCATTGTAAAATAGGACACCAAACAAAAGACTTCATGTGAGCTGAGATCATCGCTCTCGCAGAGACTAGCGCAACCCTTCCACAGCGTTTCTCACAGCCTGGGACGGTTTCTGCATTCTTGGTGTGTTATTGCCCCCTGCTGTTCAAGTGGCCGCATTGACTCCAGCAACGAAGGCTTCGGTAATGGTGTGTTTATAGCATGCTCTCAGAAAAGTTAATGAAGATTTGAACAGAACAATTTCAGAGGCTAAGTATAAAATAAATTTCAAAGCATATTTCCCTACTCCCTGATAGGTGGAAAAGAAACGATTCGAGTCTTTGTTTTGTTTTGGACGGCTCTCTCTCTCTCTCTCTCTCTCTCTCTCTCTCTCTCTCCCCTCCCTCCCTCCTTCCTTCTTTCCCTCCCTCTCTCCTCTCCCTCCTCCTCCCTCCTCTCCCTCCTCTCCACCCCCCTTTCTTTCCGGGTTTGATCACAGATATTTCTCAATGCCATTAGGATATGGATTTGGGGGCTCTACAGCAGGGCCCGGGAACACAATCCACGGAGCTCATTTCATGAGTGGTTCTTAAACATCCAAGCAGGTCGGGGTCTGTCTCCCGGAAGTCAG